AAATCGCGAATCCGCTTCGGCAAAAGAAGCACGTCCGTTTTTCCCTCTCTCGCTCTCTCTTTTGATTTCAAACACGATCATATACCAATACACTCATCGGCTTTCAAGATCGACGAGCTCTCGGGCCAGATGGTAGTACAAAGCAAGACGTATAGAGTGTCATAGGAAGTCGCCTGCTTTCTATCAATCATAGAATGCCATGAGCCATTTCGATGACGTTGGGATTTCTTAAAAATATTTTTTACCGGTATTTTAATTAAAAGGAAAGAGAAAAAGAAATTTACAAATAAAAAATATCAGAGAAAAATAAAAAAATATATATAATCAGAGAGAGAGAGAGAGAGAGAGAGAGAAACTTTTTTTAAATTACATTGAAAAAATTTAATAAAACAGAGAAATTATATTTCAAAAAAATATTTGTGCCGTCTCGTTTAATGTAGCGCGAAAAAATGTGAAATTGCGCGACAAAAGATATTTAATATCCAATCTTTTTAAACATATGCGTACATTATATTTACAAAGAGAAACACGAGAAATCTCTGGAGCAGTCGGCACACATTGTTTGACAAAAAGCCACTGCCGTTTCTTTGTCTCTCACATATATTCCCATAAACGTGTCTATATATGTATTGATATATATCTATTCGATACATCGCAGCATTCGACCTTTGCGATATGATCCCGTATATGAAACACACGGTGAAAGTTGGGAAAACTGACATACGTTGCCCTCCGGTTGTCGGACCTGCCCCAGTCATCGAAACACGCTAGCGATGTGCAAAATAATTTGAAAAAATGGGTCGGCAATTTTTTATTTCGCATCACACGGCACATATAGCCGGGAAACGTATACGTACATACATATACAAGCGCGAACGAAATAATGCTCCCTACGTGCGTGCGCGTTTACCTCCGACAAATGCGCTCTCGTTCCGGCATCCATTTCGTTTCCTGTGTGTAAATGTGTGTATGTGTGTGTGTGTATGTGTGTGTATGTGTGTGTGTATGTGTGTGTGTGCCTCCTCTTTCTCTCTCGCCAGTCCGGTAATATAAAGAATTAATTCCTCGACCGTTTCTCCGCTTTTCAAGGAATAGAACGGCTCTGGACCAGGCTATATCGGTGCAGCAAACGTGCTGCAACGGAAATATTTGACCCGCGGCGGAATCGGTAAGGAAGCGCGGATACGCACGGAATGGAGAACTGCAGTAATGTGAAAACGGGTAGAGAATACCGAAAATTCGAGTAATCCCGAAACGCGAGTAATGATATAGCCTCCGGTTTTGCACCTTCTTTTCACGCAACATTACTCGCGATGTTTCAATGCTTAATCCTGATTGAATAAAAGATTATTTAGTTTTCCACATTATAAAACTAATTTACAATACGAATTATAGAGAAATCTAATCGCATTAAGCTAAACACTATAAACAATTATTAAGTCCTCGGGCAAAATTGCAACAGTGTGATTAGATAAGTAATCTTTTTCTATTCGTCGTGAAATGTTTTCGTCTGATTTTCATTCGAATTAAAATTCCATTAAAGTGACATTATACGTGCCGGGTATTTTCATGTTCGTGTCGAGAAATGAAGATGAATAAAGCAATAAAGGGACGATACTTTGTATAATTGCCGTACATGGAAAGTAAATAATTTTTGGATCCGAGGGGCGCATAACTCCCGGGTTATATATTTCTGCGCGACGACAAGAAATAAGGGGGGTCGTTTGCGAAAGCCTTTAATCGTTCATGTTTTGCGCAAGAGGAGAAGAGGTATGTCGGCGCCCTCCTGTGTGCCATTAACACGGCGTCGCGCTCGTAATCTTCTTTTCGTAATGCAACAACGGAGAGAGGTAACGGCGCTTTCGCACCTGCGTTGCAGCTTGCATTTCTTTAACGCGCCCCTCGCAGGAAGAGCGTTGTCGTCGAAATTTATCGAGTGGACAGACAGCTTAGAAGCACTCGGCTCTCGGAGGAAAAACACCGGCAATAAGAGCGGGAAATTTATTAGGGCTGCCGCAAAGACGTCGATCGATTACTCGTGCCACTTTACTTTAAATGAACGATTGTCGACCGTACCTTAAATACCCACCGATCTTCTTGTAACAGACTATCCTGTTACTATATAATACCGTTTTCGGTTCTCTCTCTGTCTCTCTTCTATTTTTTCCTCTTAATTAACCGATATATATATATATATAGCACTCTGCGAGACATTTCGAGATAAATTGTGCCGGCCCTATTTTTACAGCATCTCACATTTTATCTCCAAGATACAAATTGCTACATAAATCAAGCTACTGCGTGACCATCGCGATTAAATCTATTGTATCTCTCGCGAGATACGCGCCGTTAAACGCACTCGAAACGCAACACTTTTACTCGCAATTAAATGTATCATCGTTGTTAAGAAGGAACATCGCGATTTCCAATCCGGCTATACCTCCCCGACCGATTAGCGGTTAATTACTTTCCGATAATTCCGCGGAGCGATAACATTTGGCACGAATCGCCGCGGATCTTCGTGGGAAGCGGTCGTTCGTGGGTAACGACGATTAGAAAACGCGCGTCGTTAATGCGGCGGCGCCGATGCGATTTTCCGAACTGCGAACCGCGACGAGTCGATTCGAGAGAGAGAAAATGAGAGAGAGAGAGAGAGAGAGAAAGGGAAAAAGCTACCACCATCCCCATCGCGATCTATGCGCGCAACATAATCGGCTTGCAACTGCAACGCGCCCTCTCACCTAATTATGGCCTCCCAATTAAAGTCCCGAGTGCGTCCGAGCGTGAGTCGAGCGTTCGCGGCAAAAGCAACTTTAATTTGGACCTCTGCAAACCTCCGACCTTTGCAGTTCGCGAATCTTAGCCCGCGGTCATTTCGATTCATCGAAAGAAGAAAAATCGCGGATTGAGCTACACGATTGCGAGCGTGTGCAAGCAAACCTTGCGCGTATGCAAATCTCCCCTTCTTTCCACGTCCTCGACCACCTCCTCCTCTCTTTGCGAACCACCGTTCACTGAGAGATTGACGCTGGAACTGCGGCGGCTGTTTAGATTGCCGCGCGGTTCGACATGCCACAAAGGACCGATCCGTGACGCTATCAGTACGCTATCATCATCTTGCACCGATGCACGGCTGTGCATCTGCATTTCTGGCACACGCAAACATCGTGTCTACGAGCAAACTTTCCTCGGCCCGTCCCTCATATGACGGTTACCATCCATAATTTTTAAATAGCACTTTGAGAGTTTACAAGTTACGCCATTTCTCTTCTGATATATACATTGTTTGAATTTTTAAGAATTTTATTCAAAGGTTTAATACACACAAATACACGCACGCATTTGATGTCGCGATACATTTTGCGGCTTTCATGTATATTTGAATATGAATAAAGTGAAACTGACTGAGAGAGCAGCTTAAAGATCCCAAGAGAGGAAGAAGCTCGTCTGAGAGTTAAGAACATCGATGCAACATTAACATGCCATTTCGCATCAAGATATAATATCAATAAAAAGTAATATTCGAAAGATTTATCAGTACGAGAGGACATTTAATCGCGTTGAAAAGTGTGCATATTTTTATTTATACATTCCCGAGGAATAAATTGAAGTGAAAAAAAAAATGGAAAAAGAATTAAAAAATTAAGGAAGAGGAAAGTACCACAGAGTATACATGTAGCTTTCTTTCAACAAGTTGTGCAACATTCTCTTTGTACTTTAATGACATAGTTATGCTTATGTTATTTAAAACTTTAATTTCGTTGTTAAAGCGCCATTATTATCATTATTCTCGGTCGCATCAGATCATTCTTGACAGAGTGAACACGGTCGTAATTGTGCTGCTTGGCGGTATTTTCGAAGCAGTCTTCCATGAAGCTGCTTCTTTGTAAGATCGGTTCGACGCGCGATCACGCAGCCGTGACTCGTCTCCGTATTATGTATACTTTTTCACCTGATGGAATGGGCGAAATATCCGAGAACCCGTAATAAATGAAAGTCTTTCTTTCATCTCCTAGTTTGATCTCTAGAATGGAGAATCGCTTCTGCGGTAGAGACCAAGTATTTTTAAAATATCGCCCGCAGCCACCGCATCTCCGGAATCTCTCGATCTTATGTCAATTTAACCGACTATATCGCGACGACGTATAAAAAGATAGTAGAGAAACTTTGTGAGAAGAACGAACTTTCGTCTTGACATTTCTATCGTCTGCCATATATTTTCTAATCGATTCACAGCTGTTCCGACATATTTCTTCCGCGTAGCCCTTGGTTAACGAGTAGCAATGTCAGACATACTACGTAATAACTTTATTTTACTTTGCTTACGATTTTTATATACGTCTGATCTATTTTCTCTCTCTCTTTCTTTGATACTGTCGACTCGTTTTATTTCCAGCAATCGTACGACTAAAGTTGATGCTAGTCGTTTCAATGGAGACAGAAACGTTCTCTCGATATCTGCCACGGCTTGAGCGAGCGAGTATCGTCGACATACTTCGATATCCCGTCGACTATTGACATATTATTCGACCTATTTAATACATATATGACACAAGTTAAAAGACTATACTCGCTCGCGAAACAGAAAATTCGAAGAAACATTGCAGGAATAATAGATGCAGCAACGGACGCATACATCGGACGTTTCAACATTCCCCTTCTGGATGTTACAACGTAGAAGGGCATGTTGCAATCTGCAATCTGCAGCCCACGCAAGACATATACGCGCGCGAATCCGGTTTCATTCCTCGACACCTCTTTTCTCCCTCGTCCTGCCGTGTTGCATCGCGTATATATACGTTACAGAATTATCAATTTATTCGATATTTATACTCGCCAGAGGCGGCCAACTCCGATCTACCCCCAGTGCCCATCAATCTCACCCCGAGTGAATCGTTCATTAATTAACTACCATCCTGCGTTTCGATGAAATTAGTTTTTAATCATAGCGTCCAACGTTCGTTAGGAGTACGTAACAAGGACCCAGAGCATATACTCACCGGTGCAGAGCAGCAATAGGTTCATTATCGCGATCTGCGTACGGCGGTTGATCCTCGGCTTTCTATCCATGATTACAGGAGATGGAGTTTATACAGAGACGGGGAGAGAGAGAGAGAGAGAGAGAGTAACTTCACACGAGGATAGTAATTTCACACGTGTTTCACACTCGCGGAGAGATTCTCATCCGCTGCTCCGTCGTCGCGAAATCCCTTCCCTGTATTCCGAAACTCTCACCGAAGGCGGCAATCAAATAATATACGCATCGTCAGTGTAATTTATCTCACTCGGTTATCTCTCGCGGCGTGCGCTGCGTATTTATTATTTATTTATATATTCTCACAGGGGATCGTGACACAACACGCGCGCACATCCGAATGACATTCACTGCACTATTAAAGCGTCGGCGACGAGAGAGTGAGACGCTCCATGCACCATTCTTCATCGCACTCGTTTCGCAAAAATTCAACCCTCGATCGTCGTCGTCGGTCGCTACCGTCCGGATCTGTCGATCGTTCTCGGGCGGATACTCGCTGGCAACCTTACATCAGCGACGATGACACTTTGGCCCGACGAAGACATCAGGCGGAAACGACGACGCGCTTCGATCCGCGCGCGATCATCGCGTTTTTAAACTCGCGCACGAAGAAGATGAGACCGAGACCCCATTCCAGCACGGGGCGGCGAACGTATGTGCAGAAACGTACGTGCGTGTGTGCGTGGACCGCGTGCACCTGACGGTATCAATGGTTTCCTGCGCGCGGTCGAAGATTTTAAATCGAGATTCTTCTCTCCTTTCCACGTCTCGAGTGCGAAGAGAGATACGACTCCGAAACTGTGGAATTTTTTTTTTATTTTACTCCCGCCACGGGAGATCACTGTACCACCGTTGTTCGAGACAATACACGACGGAACAGACTAGTCGAGGTCCCTTTTTGCCCCGAGGACAAACGGATGAAAGAGCCTCCCTCGGTGAAAAGCAGTCTGGCGCGAAAACCAAAACTCTCGCACGTCCGTCGACACCGCCAGTGCGTCTCTCGACAGTCGCACGGCAACTGAGCCTGTGATCGCATCGCGCCTTTGCTGCCCCCACTCTCGGCTTTCACCCCCACCGCGGCTCCTTTGAACTGCCACGCATAGTGTGCCGCGTTCATACTACAACCGACCGGCGGTGGCGGTGGCGGCGACGATGGTGGTGGTGGTGGTAGTGGTGGTAGCGTCGACGTCGACGTCGACGTCGACGACGATGACGATGACGACGATGACGAAGACGGTGGTGGTAACCGGCCAGAGCCGGATGCGCCTCTGCAGGTGTAAGAGGCGCTAACTCGAAGCTCGTCCGTGAGAGAACTCGCTTACTGCAGGGTTTCTCAATCAGACGAAATCTCGATGCTCCTTTGTACGGTGCGAAAATGCAGGAGAGAGAAATCACAGACGAGCGAACAACAAATTCGATAATGCATAATTCCCAGGGAAAACTCTTTGACGAGAAATGAGATTTTTAATATGAATTTCGTTACGGTAACAATTTTCCCCTTCGATAGCGTTAAATAATATGTCCGAAAAATGTATATATCATGTATAACGTCGCGCAAATATTCCGAAACGTATCATGAAGAAGTTTCTATTGTTATTTAATGTATTCAGCATATCGTATTTTCATTACGGCATGAAATAGCTTTAAATAAGACTAAGTCTCGAAATATGGTCCCTGCTGCATATATGGTCCCTCTTGAGATATATATATATATATATCGTAAGTAAAGTACTTGGACGACACTAGGAACTACTTCAACTCGCTGGTAATAGTGCATTCTGGTTATGTGAAGAGGGTGCATTACGTTTTGCTCTCTTGAAACAACGAATTTAATGAAGGTGGTAAATTTTTATAAGGTCCTTATGTAGATCATTGCTTACGTTTTTTACGAGATATAACGTGCTCTTTTAAGAGATGCAACAGCGCCTATAGCGACCTAAGATTACTGGTGACTGGATATTATAAAAATAGAAAAAAAAGAGTAGATTTACAATGTGAAGTAGTTATAATTGTTTTATCTATTCCCAGAATTTAGCAATGTTTTCCTTAAAATAATAATACTGCGCTTCATGCGGTATAAAATTATAATACGAGTATCAATCGTACGTATGGCGAGTGACGCGCTATTATAAGTTAATTTCACTGAATTTACAAACGATGCATTTATATACATGTACATATGTATACGAGCAATCAAATGTTCATCTCTAGATAAAAATATCTCGATTGCACAAGTTCCAAAGCAATGCAATGTTCAATAATCAAATTCTTACCAACACGTACTTTCAATTAAAAATATATTTTTTTTTATAAATAAACCTGAAAATTGCACGAAGAATTTAATACGCTACCAGTGACGTCTACATTTATAGACAAGCTAATTTTGACGGAAGGTAATTTTGTCGAAATTTACCTAATTCTCTAATTTAGGTCTGTTAATCGGTACCCATATGACTGCATGAGGGAACTGAATGAGTTTAATTATTTTAATTACTTAAGAGAGCTTTCCGGCCAGTTTTGCTTGACAGTATATGTATATATACATATATTGTATATATAAGTTTGTATATACTATATACAATAGAGCTGAACAAGAATAGATTTACCTTCTTTTACTATATCGTACTTTTGCACTTACTTGAACTTCTCATATATGTAACTTCTTCTCTTCTTTATTAATCTAAAAATATATACACACATCTCTCATTTTTATTTCTCCTTTTGGTCCCCTCTCTCGTAATTAAAATTATTAATATAATTACCCCAAAAGCGTTTCAATTACAATTTAACAATTTTGCTGTACAAAACTCGATATAGGATTTAAATAAATTCCCATTTGATTTATCTCCTCTCCTCCTCACATGTAAAATGCATTCGCGTGAAAAATCTGTCTCTCGTGCTCGGGGCGTTGATACGGCACGAGCCAACCCTGTCGGCGGTGGCGGCAATGCCAATGGTGGGGAAAGACCATGCGGCGGGTCGGTAGGGACAGAAGGGTGTTGTCGGCGAACGTTGGGCCCTCGCGTGAGGTTCGAGGACGCGCGCGGGATTGGGGAAGAGAAGGTAAGCGAGGACGAGAGTAAGAGATGCACGACGGCAGTTTGCCCCCACCGATCTCTACGGCAGGTGGTTCTTTCTCCCGCGGGCTCTCTCGTATATACTCGAGGGACCACCAAGCATTTCGGCCGACCGCCTGTACACCGCCTTGTATATACGGAACACGACGTAAACCTGCTGCGAGAGCGCGGCTGCACCCTGGATTGAAGGGCGCGTCGGGTTTTTTAATGGATCGCGCCCGTAATAACGCGGCCGGCTCTCCAGATAGAAATTCGCCGCGTGTATATATATATATATATATATATATATATATATATATTATATATTCGCAGGTATAAAAAAATTCGCCATATTCGGAAAATTACAACCTCTTAGTAAAACATTTACTCCGATTTTTTCATCCGCGAGCTCTCTTCATTCTCTCTTACTCCTGATGTATTTTGCCGCCAAAAAAAAGGGGATTAATGTTTTTCTCGCGTGGAGCTTATTTTGATATCTGATAAAATATCAAGCAGAGAATACTCTAAATATACTATCGCAACTTTAAAAATATATATGTACGTGTATCGATGCGGCAAAATGGTGATATTTCGATAACAGTATCGCGGTATCGTTAGCATTTTTGCGTGTCCAGTCGCAATTGCGATATGATAGATATCGCGAGAATTTGAAAGAGTTTTATATAAACATACAATCTCGCCCCCTTTTCCGTTTGTCGATTCTATGCATTAATCTTTTTTCCTCCCTCCCGCCTTTTAAATAAAAGCGGCTCTTTATGGAAGACACTCAACTGGTATGATTTGCATAGATTCGCAATTCGGAGGAAAGATAGCGGCCAACGTCGAGATGGCCGGTTTAGGGGTCACACAAAATGGGCTCTTTGCGCATACAAACACACACACACGTGCCTTACTGTGTGTATGTAATGTTTGTATCGCAGCTTATTTCGTTGTCGATTGTAGCCGTGGAATTCGGATGTGCGCGATAGCATAAATTAGCGTTTGATGTACTGGGGGGGTCTCTCGCCGTTTGGTAAATGATAAACCGCGTCGCCGAGATTAAAACTGTATTTTGCATCGGCTGCGCGGGACGCATCATATAGGATGTCGATCACGATGGCCCAGTTGCAAGTGGCCGCGGCGATGTAAATTAAACTTCGATCCGATAAATTTCGGACATGTCGAAACAATCTTAATGGGCGAATAATGATGATGACGATAGCCGATAAAAATACTGTTTTATCGTTTTATATGCGCGTCCGGGGAAAATGCAACATTGTTATTGCGAAATAAAATGCAGACTCTTCCTCGCGCGCGAGAGCACACACGAAATGCGAGATCGAGCTGTATTTAAAATACAGCTTACGAGAGCTAGAGGAACAGCTAGACCGACGTGTGACAATCTCATTTGACGTTGCGCCACGTCCTACCGGAACGCTTGGTGGAATGCAGAGGACGCGTTTATTACGTAACACCACGTTTATTAGGATCGTATACGACGACGACGCGCGCGTGTCGCTTCTCAAGTTGATCACTGTTAGAGACCGGTAAACTTCAATCTTTCAAGCTTACAAACGAGTTCTTATTTGTCTTTAGCGAACAAAGACGAGCGTGTAATTTCGCCTCCGAGACGAGGCCAAGATAGCGGTTGGAGATCCATTTCGCATCGCCGTAGAAATTTCGTTAGAAACACAAGCTGGCACGCCCAGCGAGACCTTCGGGATGTCCAGCTGCCCTTGGTCCTGCCTGGTCAGTCTGCCTTAAATCTTAGAACGAGGCCTCTTCCTCTTTGTCATGGTCATTTTTTACCTTTGTCTCGTAGAACAACCATCCGAGGCCAAACGATGCAAGGGCTCTATGGTAACATATGCAAGCTCCACATGTCACGGTGAAGTATCATGTTTACATCGACATGCATCAGCATGCGTTGCCCACAAGTATAGGCAAAGTAACCACCCAATATTGGCGACAATGCGTATATATCGGTAACATTATCGTCGACAAATATTTGCTTTCTGTCGCCGTTCGATAAACATCAAAGAAAATGTTGTCGAAAGACTGCCGGAGACTGCGTGCGATATATAGGATACTGTCGAAAAGTTTCATATTTTAGTGCACTTTTCCCATTATTTTAAGCGACCGTATCATAGTCGTTGACTCGAGGCCGGCAACACATTGTCGAAGAGACAGGCGCTTTCGCGACTTTATTTTTCACTCTTCCATATTGCCGTTTTCCTTTCTCATAATACATACGTAGCGTTTTCCATTCTTCCCAATAAAATTCCATTAATCCTACTCTTGATCAAGCTTTATGAGTATTGAATGTTCTCCCGGGGAAAAAAGCGCGACAACAAAAACTCAGTGGCTCTCTTTTAGTAATAATAGAGTGAATTCGATATGACAACGTGGGATATTCTTGGCAACGAAATTTATTTCCGTTGCCAGCAATTATGTCAGCTATGTTGCGGTATCGTAAACGCGGCTTGAGACCTGTATGTGTATTTTTATTTGGAGTTTCATCGTTCACGCTCTCGACTGTCGCCCCGTTCCGAGAGGAAGCATCGCACTTTCAACAAAACTTTTGTGAAACGAAAACGTTCTCCCGTGGCGAGACTCGACGTGCGCGCGGTTATGAATCTGAAAAAATTGCCGATCGACCCTGAATAAATCATTAATTTAACCGTTTTCGGTAAATAACGAACTCGATTAATCAAAATATGTATCGTAATCGCTCGTGCGTTGTTAATACGATCAGTTAATTAACAAGCCGAATTCGTTTATCGCGCAAAGTGATTCGATGTCGCGCAACGACTTTTTTTTCAACCGGATTGGAGCAAAGTAGATTTTCATAATATAAGTCCTCGATTCAGCATCCATTAGCGGAGTGCCGTAACACGCTAGCACGTTCATTATAAAATTCCAATAATTAACATTTTTAATTCTTAACTATCTCGTAATTAA